AAGATGAGACAGACATTGTGTTGATCCCATTTAAATGTAAATACTCTATGACAGTTCATGAAGGCTTTGTTTCAGACAGTAAAAAAAAAAAAAAACAAAGAAGATTCTTAAACTAGAGGATTTGTGATTTAAATAAACAGTTTTCTTGTTTACTTCATTACTTTTTATTACTGGTGTTTTTCTTTGGTAGTCCAGAGAGTTTAAACACAATGCAAATTAAGAAAATGTCAGCAAATAGAAAAATGCTGCAAAAGCACGCAAACCATAATTAAAGTAGAAAAAAAACACAATTGAAATAAAAAACACAATGCAAGTTTTTTTTCTGAGATATTTTTATTAGATTGACGCAACAAAGAAAAAGAGATACATACAGAATTATTATACGACAAGCACGTAGCTTTCACAATGATTGTTTGAGTCCCTACCCATACCACACAGTAGTCCTATCTGTCAAGCCAGGTTAAAAAAAACAAGAAAAAAACCCCAACAACAACAAAAAACTGTCACGTCCGGTGTGGCAGACGTGTGGAGTTTGTAGAAAGGACCCAAAATGCGGCAGCTCTGGTGCAGGTGAGTATTTATTGGACAGGAGTAGATACAAACAGAAGTGGCAGGTGAACATGAAACTGGAAAACCTAAACTGGGCAAAACTAACAAAACAAACCAGGACGGGGAGACGCAGGGAAACCGAGGGGAACAACACAGACGAACCAGCAACTAACAGAGGCAGACACGAGGTTTAAATACACAGAAGGATAACGAGGGAATGAGACACAAAAGGAGGGCACAGCTGGGAGTAATCCGACCTGACGAGATAGGGGAAAAGTAAACTGAACACACTGAGATCAGACACGGACCTTCAAAGTAAAACAGGAAGCACATACACGTAATGACATAACACACCAACTTAACACAGACTGAGGATCACAGAACATAGGAACATGAACCATGAAACAGAAGAGTACAAACACCCAAGGTAACCAAAACCACAGAATAATAATAAACTAAAACATAAACACGGAGTCACAGACTCCGGACCATGACAAAAACAAACACCACCACAAATACAACAGGGCAAAACAGAACAAAATAAAACAAACACACAAATACATTTTTTTAAAAAGAAAAGAGGAAAAGGGGGGGTATACTGAGTATTGCTTGGAGGTCAGGTTTGCAACCTGAAGGCTGCCAAAGTATTTCAGGAGCTCATTGTGAAACCTAGCCCCACCTTATCATGTGATTTCCTGAGGTCAGATG